TAGATGTCCCTTGCAACAGTAGTCAGCAGCACGAATGACGCATGTAGAGTTACTTGAGGAACTTTGGGTACTTACCACATTGTTTCTAGGGCAGGCTTCTGATTCTGTTTTCGGTATCAGTTTCTTAATAATATTACAGTTATATGGTTATTGTTTCAATGTCCAATTGCTGGCATGATTAGTGAACGAAAAAGTTAAAGTCGTCGCAAACGAAAACTGCGTCGGTGGAGAAAAGGTGCAGTGGGTTACGCGGCGACTTTCATTGCTAATCAAAATATTTTCGAGTCAAGCCGCTGTATGATGGTGTCTCTAGCTGGCTATTTCCTAGTGATGCTGTGTACCTCAAAGCGATAACATGATATGGTTTAATTTTCTGGTAGAAAATATGTTACACTCTGTTGTAATGATCTTAGCCAAAAGGTTTAAGAAATATGTCAGTCATTCCAATATTTGGTGGAAGTTTACAAGTTTACATGTGGCATTGTTTTATCCAGAGAGACGAATGAACGTTGAGGAGCCACTACGAGTTTTTCCTCTGCTATCCTTTTTTGAATCATGACCTCTTTTCATTTGTTTTCGGCTGTGTCATACGCGAAGATTGAATTTTGAAGGCAGGTATTAGGACAGAACGGGAGAGAAATTGGATAAATTTTCCTGAAATATTGTGACCGTACAGGAATGTTTTGAGAAAGCAGGTCAATGAATGGGAATCTTTAAGGAACGACAACAAGTTGAAGGTTTTAGAAAGCAAACGTTCATTGACGGTACCATCAACGTGAAACTAATAGTTTGCGATTTTCTGAGTATATGTACACTGTTGCGCATTGTGAAGAAATTTACCACCACAGTAGGGCGGGATGTTCCTTTATAATCCTCTGCTAACTATGTTTAATCTCCGCCTAGCAAAAGTACCTTTCGGTTCCAACACCCCTTAAAAGATATCTGAAAACTAATATTAGTTGTTAGTCTTTTTAAGCGCTTTCCAAGTTGTTTTTGTTACTACTAACTCTGCTTAGGATAACTCGTCTATCTATTCGCTATGTAGGGATCCCTAGTCCTTATAAACTAATGCTATTTCTACTACTTAAACACATTCATAGCGAAGCTGATTTTTCAACAACTGCTGCTAATTGGTACTCAAGAACATAACTATTTGAGAAGCTTAAAGAGAAGGTTTCGAACTGTGACTGTCAGAGTATAAATCGTTTTTCCAACATGTTACTGTAATATGTAATTTCACCGAAATTTATTTTTGCTATAAATTTAAAGCAAAACAGATAGGAAGAAAAAAAAAGAAGAAGCAAATATGAATACGGTAGCCGTAAACATCAACGGTGAATTGAAGGAAACCATTGTTTTTCTTCTTTGTTTTGTTCAATCGTTTTGTTGCTCGAAATACGAACCTTTTCGCAAAAAAAATAAAGTACGTTTTATGGGTTCTAAAATCCTATCTCGTTCTTTTAGAATAAAAAAAGTCGTTCCTTGTTGGCAAAGGTGTGTAAAATCTAGTTCTTTCTAGATTAGAAGGTAAGGTTCAATATAAGCTGGAATCTGTTGGTCCAAAATTTGGGAAGCGCAGTCACTTTTGGACCAGTATGTATTGAAATCAATGCATTTCGTCCCTCATGATGGAGCGAGTTTCGTAAAATTCATTTTTCCGGAATTCTGCTTAGAAAACTCGCCAGGGACTGGTTAATAAGTAAACTAATTATTTAGCTCACTGTAACACAGTTTCCGAGTATTGGAAGTTTTTCATTTTAACGTTTGTTTTTATGACTTGAATTAACCCCTGAGCTTGTCTCTGAGATAGAGGGAGGACAATTTGTACGAGTTGTTATAATATAAGGTTGATTTGAGGCAACCCTTGTATTCCCACCAATTAATATTATCAGAATTCATTCATCTGGATGGTTTTGCACTTATGAGTGAAACTCCTGAACGTACATTCTTCCGTTTGGGCCATTTGCAAGTAAGATTGTGGATCCTGGTTTGTTGGCTTTGCGATCCTCTTATATTTTTATCTAAATCTGTTTGCGTGGCTCTGTGTCACACTTCATGGGATCCTGAGCTTCTTTCATTCGATTCCTTGTTTCACGGCCACCATTCATGAAGATACTCGGCTGTCACTTGAAGACTTTTTCTTCTTCAAAATGTTGTTGAATACTGGTCGTGTTGATCTACACTGCAATGTTGCGATAGTTATACTAGAGCATTCCCAAACTACACGCAGTTCATTTCCGAATGATCTACCTAAGTTTTATCTAGAAAGTCTGGTGCCAAATTTTTGCCGATCCGGTGGGTATTAGGCGTAATTAACCAGAGTGGGATCACACCAAGAGCCATGGAAGTTTTTCAAGACATCTCTAACCATTGCTCATACCGTGCCCTTGATTTACATATATTATTGTCAATGGTTGCTCAAGTGTTTGCTGATTTTTTAAACGATTATTATAATGTGTGTGATTGTCAATGCATTGACGAGATGGGGTGTTTGCGATATTCACTTGTGGCTCGCTCGATGTTTCGCCTCATTCGTCTGGACACTATGATCGTGCTACCACCTGGTGCCTGTCGCTAGTTTAGCGCTGCTTGTAGGACTATATATTTTTCATATATAATAAAATCTAGCACGATTTAATAACGTACTTCGTACTCTTGAGATGCTAATTACCATTACTTTAAATAGCGAGCCACATTATAAAATTTCCAAATCCTGTATTAGCATGGACTACGTAGCATGTGGTATTGGTTTTAAGAAACAAGACGGCATTATGAGATGCATTAGTGCAACTGTTATTCCTCAATACGTACGAAAGATTTCTTTAGTTTATTTGGTGCTGTTCAGAAAGTCAAACAATCTCTGTACTCGATCCTAATCAGATTCCTTTCCTTTACTAGTAGTTAGAGTTGCAGAAGTTCATTATTACCACAATTACATAGAATTTACTTGAGAAGTGCTATTTTTATCTACAGTGTTCTTCATCATTGGGAACACACCACAGGTTATTGTAAAAATTGTCCTGTTTATTTTTAAGGGTCGTTTGGATATTTGGGTGCTTGGATGGCCCGACCTCACTGGATGGTGGTTTTCTATGAAACGAAACGCTGGAATCTCAATCTAGTCGAAATTAATTCGGATTAGTGTAATTTCAGTGTTTCTACTTTTAGGCGCAAGTAATTCGTCATTGGTGTTTAGTCCAGTCAGCGTTCCTTTTGTAGTTTCACAAATAAACTTAAAATAAGTGGGTGGGAAATATTGTAAGTATTGGTAGATCTACTGGTTAAAAGACCAACATTGAACGAAGTAGTGTGCACAAGAAAGAAGTACAAAAGAACAGAAAAACTGAACACGTTTGAATTTTATTGTTTACATTGAGATTAGCTCTTTACACGTCTGGTTACATGTGGAAGCAAGCTGACAGTTTCCGATGTACTGTTTTTAGGTTCCACTGGAATGTTGGCCGTATTCGGTGGCACTCCGTTATTATTTGTCTTCGATGCTTTTAGTATAGAGAAACTACATCCTTTGCCAAATCGAGAGCAAATTGGAGCTGTTTTATTGTCGGGACTTTTCGGTAGTTTTAGTTAGAATCGTTGATTTTGGTATTTCATTTAATAAGGACCAACTCCGTCTCCACACAGCTGAGATCTTGAGAGAATTTTTTTATTTCTTATGAATTCAATAGATTAGTTCCATATTCATCTAGGGATCTCTACTACTAAAGATAAGGCTTTCTGTTTCCAATATCTCACATATGGTTTTTGGAGGGTTTGTTAAAATTTTTTTCCACGTCTATTACGTTCACTACCTTTTAGGTATGTAGTTCATACATCCTCTTTGCTGTCAAATTACTGATGATGATATTTTGGACCATTTTTCTTGTAAATATAACCCCCTAACCATTCCTGTTGTTATAGTTTGCTTCAAACTGTCACAATAAGCTCTCTGTAAGTATTAACTAGCTACGTTATATGCATTTATTCTTATATCTGGTTTATCTATCTTTACCCATGTTTTTTTTTTCAGGTACACTGTTAGCGGACTATCTTTGGCTGACCGCAGCAGCACTTACCGACCCGCTTTCGGCTTCGCTGTCAATGACGTTGGCGATTCCATTCTCCTTCTTCGCAGATGCGGTTTTCCAACGTCAACTGCCATCCAGAATGCAGCTATTTGCTGTAATACCTATTACCGTTTCGTTTATTGCCGCCGCTGTGTTAGATCACAAGAGAGTTTCGCCAGAAATTCCGGACGTAAGACAGTCATCTGGTGGAGAAGATGAAGCTGCTTTGCTGGAGAATGACGAGTCTTAATTGGTCAGTGCAGATGCGCCCCGTATCTGTCGAGTAATCAAAGAGCAACATATCTTCTACATTAGCTTTACGAGTCCTCATGGTTTTTCTTCATTTCTTAACCTTGTTTAGTCTACTACTCAGTGTTGGTACTCCGAGTTTACTGTGATATGAAGTTACGATTCGCTTTCTACCCTTTTTAGCCCCGGAATTATTTACTCATGTCTAGCTACTTCGCTGAGATTTTTTATGAAATTATATTAACGAATGGATACAATTACCATCTTGGTCGGTGTATATTCACGAAACGAACTGTGATTTACTTTATAGAGTTTATGAGGATTTAAGAAATTGTCTCGTTCTTCTTTAAGAGGTTTTCAAAAAAAAATTTCCTCGACTGTAGAAGAACACCTAGACTCACACACATTTATCACTCATTTTACTGTATTGTATTCCAATCTAAGCACAGTTTACATGACCCTTTTGGTGAACAGAAGTTGGTGATGATAGTGGTGGTGGGCGTGTTAGCGCGCGTAGCATGATGACCTTGTGGCGAGCGACCGTCCGTGCGCTCGCACAGTTTGGCAGCCCACAGTTGTGCACTGGTGACCCATTGCCTCCTTGTCCGAACCATAGAGATTCTGAGCTCCTGGTCTCTCTTTTATCTCCCCTGATCCTTTTACCACAGATTCTCTCGCAATCAGAAAATGATGGTCTCTAGACCTTTTCCTCAGTTGTGCATTGGTCAATTACCAAGCGTTAATCAGCTACCACCACAACCATTAGCACCAGCGCCACCACCACCGCCATCGCCTTCGATTTCGACGTCGGTGTCATCTGTGACGAGTATAAACCCCCTAGGGACATCGCTACTCATCTCCACAACATCGCCACAGTTGGGCAGTCCACAACAGCAACTCTCCAGTCCCATACAGGTGGCGATGAATTCTGCTTTTCGACCGATTGTACCTCATACAGCAGCCATGTCACCCAACGGCGCCACCACTGCCTCAGCTGTTGGAGGAGACTCATTTTTCTTATCAGCCATTCATTCACTGGTGCTGTCGTCTCCAAGTGATGATTCTGCAAGTGACTCGAATCATTCATCTTCCGACAAAGGTAAGGTCGTTTTAAGTTCTTTTGTTTCTTTTAAATATTAGTATGGACGAATGCTGAAAATTGGCAATTTTCCTAGCAGGATCAAATTTTTGCCATGGAGTCGATACTGCTCTAGGAACGGGATACTTCGCTATTTGGGAAAGGTTCCAAAAAAATATGTTTGTATATTGTAACTGCATTTTTTTTTTGTTATACACTTGACAGAGTCTGAAGTAAAGCAGTGGTTCTTGGAGTTATTATTCACGTTAGAATGCTCCTTGATTAGACACTTCGTGTAGATGCGTTGATTATACATGACTGGGAAGCGTTTGGGTGGAGGATAGCCTTATTTGCTTTCTAACGATATTCATAGGCATTTATCGACCATATGCGACTCTGATCAGCTGTTCTTCCTCCGTGCAAGGCGCGTAATAAACGGCTCTGAAGAAGACGAAATCCGCCGAAACAGCTTTGCGCAATAAAGAATAAAGTAACGCCTCGCGTTTGCTCAACAATATCGTGAACTATCTGATCAATTCCCAAGACCGACTTTCTGTTAACCTCGGCATTAATTGATAATTCAATGTTTTTCATCAATAAGCAGACACGAGGTTGTTAATATAGAATTTATTAGAACACAATTGCTGACGTTTCGGCGGTTTCGCC